TTATGTTCGCTACTGGCAAGATTCCTATATCTGGGGCGCTCCAATTTGACAATAGACTCAAGCAAGTTGGCTCTTCTAAGGAACTTTCTCCACTACACTTTATATTATTGTATAGGGTTTTTTTTAGCTATATGAGAAATTAAAAATGATAATATGTTACAAGACAGAAATATTGTTGACATGATATAAAAGGCTTATTTTTTTTGAATATGATTACCGGTATATGTCCGCTTTGCTACGAGTTATATGGTCCATTTCATCAGTCCATTTTTTGACTATTTCTGCAATAAATGTGGCCGTATGGCATCAATAGTGGCATGAATATTGGTTTCCAATACTTTTAGAGGTGCTGGTTTGTCGGCATAAACCAATTGCTTAACATAGCCTCATAAAAAGTGATCAAGAGACGTTAAATCGCACGAACGACGGCGAACAGTTAACAGGATCACTTCTAGAAATAAAGTTTTTACCAAACTGAATTCGCAATAAATCGATTAGTTGCGGCGTACCATATCAAATTTTTTGACCTCATCGATAGTAAGACAAACTGTCAAGAGTACTTTCCTAAAACGTGTTTCTTCTGGAAGCCAAAGCTGGACAGTCATAAAGAAAATACTTAATTATTTCTTCTTCTTCTACGTTTCCACAACTTTAATATTAAATTTAAGAGAAATGAGCAATTTTTCTTTGTAGGGACGAGAGAGAACTGTAGAAAGAATTGCAACATTCACAAGGTCTCTTTGAATGAGTTCCCAGCATTTTTTCTAAATTTCAACACTATTTTTAGAAAATATTTCTGCTTATTCTGAATATATTCTATTTCTATTCGAAATAGATTTCTTGTTATATAAAAATAAGAAATTCTTACGTGCATATCTTCTCGGTTATCACTAAACTACCATAAAATTGTTGCGATGTTGAGTACAAAACTCAATAAAAATTTATTCGATTTCTATATGTTTGGTAATGTGATTTTGAAAAAAAAGTTCAATGCAAATATTTACGCGTATCTAAGCGATTTTGAGTATCCTGAACGTTGACAATAATCCGACAAGCATTTTGTTGTCAAGTAAGGAGCAGGAGCAGGAACTAACAGCCACGGAGCAATAAAGCAAACACTCCTCGATGTGGAATATGCAAAACATATTTTTGCAATTTTGTTGAACAAATATGACTTTTTTTATTCTAAAAAAAAACAAAACCCACAAAAGACATATAAAATTCTGACACAACAAAACAACACAAGTTCAGTACTGCAAGGCAAAATCGTGAATGATAAATTTTTATGCACTTTTTTGTGCAGAAAAAGATGTATCCCTGCTCAATCGCGTTCCTTCAGGATAAACAATTAAATTTTTTTCTTATGTTTTCGTTGAAAGTTTGAATTTCCATTGGATACATTCAACTTTATTGAGTATATTGAAAATATTTTATAAAAATAAATTCGTTTTGAGTGTAATCAAATATTTATCAGAAATGAAAGTAACCGAAAAACCAATATAACAATTTATGTATCTCTCGGGATTATTAACCGGTCACTGTAGATTGAATAATCACCTAATGAAATTAGGTATTCAATCCAATTCAGACTGTAGATACTGTAGAGAAGAGAGAGAAACTGTATACCATATGCTTGGAGAGTACCCGGCACTGATGGACGAGCGAAAGAAACATCTAGGATTGTATTTCATGGATCATAATTCAAGACTAGGAAAGATAGGTTTTATACTATCTTTCTACTACACTACCCCTTTTTAAATAATAATAATAATAATGTGTCTCAAAGAAACTCACAAATTAAATATAGTTCTCTCCATATTTTAATCAGACTTCATTGTTTCTTTTCCAAATGTATATTCCATGTTTTACTAGATCTCTTCTTAAACACATACGGCTATTGTTTTAATGATATTTTTGATCATCAATCATCGTTTGTTACTGTCATACTAAACTTATTTATTTAAATGAATAATTAGAGAGCAAAAAAATTATAAACAAAAGAGCAAAATTAATTATATACTATACAGACCAGAAACCCCATGATTGGTTGGTTCCAGTGACAAGCCAGCAGTTATCTTTCTGCTTCCCATAATTAGGGAATTTTCATCGCAAGAAAGCTTATGCCATTAAAAGTAAAAAACCCCATCCATTCCATAGAGTATAGATAATTTAACAGATCTTTCGTCCTTGAATTTGAATCACTTAATAGATCTTTCATCTTTACTAATGAACAGTCTGGCGAACTATCAAAAATGTACTCCCCTAAAAACGTGCAACTTCTGAAAGCCAAAACTGGACCATCAAAAAGGAAAATTCTTAATTAATCATTTTTTACTGTAGGAGTGTAGAATTTTTACAGTCAGCATTATAAGGAAGGCAAGTTTAAGAAGTACCAGTACCACTAGGGATACATCAAGCATACACCGGGGTGGACCAAATTCCCTTTAATGTTCCTATGTCAGCTGGCTACTTATTACCCAGATAAGAGTAATGTCAGCTATTTGATCTAGCTCACCAATTTCAAAACCCATACTGAACTAGAACTTTACAAAACCCTAACACATGAGAATAAAAACAATGACCACACACAATGAATGACATCATGACTGGAATGACATCAGCCGTGAAATACGCAATAGAGTTCAATATAAAAGGATGGTGGAAGTCCTATGCTTCACTGGGAAATTTTTTTTTTTGTTATACTCTTTACACCGATTATCTTAAAATACTTTCATACTTTCGATTGTTCATTAAATCTTGAAATTTTTAAATAAAGTTGGTTTGAATGTTTATCAATGTTTTATATTTCAGATAATAATTATAAGTCAATACTGTTAAGCGAATTTATCATTTCGGTTAATTATTCAGATAAGTACGGATGATTATTGTCTTTTAAATAGATAAACCCAGAAACAAGTCTCATAATAACATAATATTATAATATCGTAATTTTGAAAATGATACTGGCTAAATAATCATACTATAATATATTAGTCGTTTTGAAGGGAAAAATTTATGGCAATATTTTATAAACGAGTGTCCTCTACAGCCATATAAATTTGGTAAAGTTATCACCAATAATGTATTGTTGAATTTTTAATTATTTTTAAAGGTCAACAAAATATTTTAGACCAAATAAGATTATAACGGATAACAATAATTGTTACACAGTTTAAACACTACTATTTTCAATCGCAGTTTGAACAATACTAGAATCTCATGTAATATAATAGGGCGACACCAACCCTATAAATTGGTATTGCACATAAAGGTCGTATAAATTATTACTGCAAAGACCGTATAAATTATTATTGCAAAGACCGTATAAAATGTTATTGTGCACAAAGACCGTATACACGCTTCGGGTAAGGCCTTAAGAGAACGTTTCTAAATAAAACAATTAGAATCTTAAAATATAAAAATAATTACATAATATATGAACGTAAGGACAAGCTGTCATCAAATTAAAAAAAAAAGTCAATAAAATTAACATATATAAAAAATTGTATAGTTTCAAAATGTACACAAAAATATTTTAATATCACATATATGTCACTACATATAACTTAATTACTTAAAACTTAATAAATCATTATCAGAGACAAAAATATTTTAACGTAGAATATCCATCGCATAATCATCTGCTACAAAAACAACACATAGCAGATTATTAAAACTAATGTCATCGTTTCAACCGCCAGTTCCCATTAAATTGGTCCAACGAAAAAACTATGTCTCCACTGCATACTTAGTTAATTACTTAAGTAACTTTAAAATTTTGTCGTTTCCATTGGCATTACTTACTACGTTACTTACTTTTTCCATGTGAAAGGCCTTCTCTTTCTTCTGTTTGTTTAAAAAAATTTTACTCAATAATATATTACTGCGTTTACATTGTGAGATTAAAAGTAGATTAAAACATACATATAAAAACTAATCTCATTTTGGTCGAAATTCATTTTTAATCTCCATAGAAATGGTGAGATTTTTTTTTTTTGTGCAACTCTGCAAATGTCTTAATATCGTAGATTTTTTTACGATCTTAGAGGAATTGGAAAAGAAATGTCAAAATTTATTTAAAACATACATTGCAAATGCCTAAATAAGTGAAGTTTTTATTAAGGACGTGTGCGAGTTAGGCTAAGTTGATGCTAAACCAAATGGGAGATTTTTTGGGATTTTTTGCACTGCACATATTTAGCCATTTATCAACACGTATCGACACATCACTACATTATCGGCACAACTTAGAATTTCCCTCATTTAGAACGCAACTTAGCCTAACTCGCACACGACCTAAGGACGTGTGCGAGTTAGGCTAAGTTGATGCTAAACCAAAAGGGAGATTTTTTAGGATTTTTTGCACTGCACACATTTAGCCATTTATCAACATGTATCGACACATCACTACATTATTGGCACAACTTAGAATTTCCCTCATTTAGAACGCAACAGCCTAACTCGCACACGTCCTAAATATATTTAGAAATAGTTTTATATAATTATAACTAAAATTTGTTAATTATTATAAGAGAATTTATTAAGTTTATATTACAATTTTTTTGTACAAAGTTGTAATTAAATGTTTTATTTACAGAAATTTATCAAACGCACGAAACAAAACATAACAAGAGAAACATCAAAATTAATCTCCAACGTATAATGTAAACGGTGTAGATTAAAAATGTAGATTAACTTAATCTCGTTATCTTAATTACACAATGTAAACGTAAATTACACAATGTATAAATCTATTTCATATTTAATTTATAAAAACAAAAATTTTATTAATTTCTGATTCACACGTTTTATATAGTAGCACTAATCATTCTATCTGCAATAAATCTCCAAAAAATTTTCCCATCGAACTCTAAAAATTAAAATTTGAATAATATGAACTTGGCAACTCTAGCTAAAACTGTCAAAAATGAAATCAAATAAATAAAACTGTTTTAATTTTAGATTATTTAATTATATTTTACTATTTTTTGAGTGTTTGTCCTCATATATGTACATATATTTTGTGTTATTTTTGTTTATTTTTTTTCAAATAAATTATGAGTTGTGTAAGAATAATAGGTAAAGATAATAACATATACAGAAAAGTTGCTGATTATTGCGTCTTGGAGGAGACGAATCAATGTTGCATACTTTGCAGTTATTGTCAAAATAGCTATGAAACTGAGAATCTTTTCTGGATCCATATACGGGAAGAACATAATTTTGCACTACCTCCCATAGGTAACGCGGAAGTACAAGATACTAATTCAACATGTGGCGACTCTAAAGGTTTTTCACAACTTAGTTGTGTGCAAGAGCAAGTCGAATCATATGATTTAGCGGTAACAAAATTTATCCAAGAGTTGGTAGAAATGTTGGAACAACAAACACAAATATCAGATGCTTTGACTTTATTTGAATGTGAAAATAAACCAAGTCCCCGTAAAGACATGAAAGAAAACGAAGGCGGTCACTTGGCTGCCATATGTCAATCAGAAAACGATAACAAAGCATGCGAGCTTGAAACTTGTATTTCTAATTTAGAAACTGAGATATACAAAGACGATATCAATGGATCTGATTTAGTTCCTTTTATAAAAGAAATAGAGGATCAAATTGTGCGTACAACTTTTCGCTTCTCATTTGATACGATTGCACGTAATGATATCAGATGTAATTCTATTAATTTAAATCAGCAACCATCTACTTACACGTTTCAAAATAATAACAAAATAAACCAGATCGACCCTCGGATATATAATCGAAACTATAAGCCTTTAAATAACAATATGGAAGTTGAATCTTTGGCTTTTGCAACTCAAGCACTAAATTTCGAAACAACTAACGTGACTTCTCAGAACACAGTTGAAGAACCTAAAGCTTTGAATGAACAATTGGACTTTGACTTTATAAACTTTACAAACCAGTGTAATATATATGAAACAAATGATTTAGATCAAGAAATTGGTGTTAAGACCTTAGCGTCTACAAAACAAGCCGAAGCTTATGAAATACAAAACTCTAAATCTCAGTTAATAATTGAAGATATTACGTACTCTTCAAACCAAACTGAAGTGCAGAACGGAAAACAGACTGGCATAATAATTAAAGATGGTAAGGTCTTGTAGAATGAAACTTTTAAAGTAAAAGCATTTAATATATTCACTATATATCTTTTGCAGAAACAATTAAACCGAGTGATGTCTCAGTTCAACACAGTGAGGTTGCGAATTACTGTGGTGTTATTCAAGCACAGAATGAAGAAACTATTTGCAGTCTCGTAACAGCTACCAATCATAATAATTTGAAGGAAGAAAATATGTTTGAAGCTAACACAAACGTTCAAAGTAAATAAAATTCATTGAGATAAATGAAATATTATAAACATTTAAGTTATCTTATATAGGAGCCTCTAACGGAAAGAACATTGCTAACAACGCTGTTTCAAAGAACCTAAGCAAAGAAGAAACACTTAAAAATTTGTTCCAAGAAATTCAAGATTCAAATAATAGCATGAATCTAATTCATGCTTTTAAAAAAATACATCAAAAATATAACGAACTACAAGCAATTTTACATGCAAATCCTATTGAATCGATTAATCAAATTTTAAGTGCAATACCAACGGTTCCACTAGAAACCACTTATGAGGTGTTAGCTTTAGATCGCAATATTCGAACAATAAAATCTTTGCATGATATTTTTGTAAGTATACAAATGACTGCTTTAAAGTATTCGAGCATTACGATGTTTGCAGATTATATGTATATTCGAATTCGAACATTCACACACTCAAACATCGAAATTCTCGAAACTACTGAAAATGGAAATAATGAATATTATTATGATATTATTATTATATTATTAAAATATTATTTTAATATTTTTATTATTATATTATTATGATATTATATATAATAATATTATTATGATAGTATATATTATTATTATGTCATTTTCGAATATAATCAGAATGTTAATTGAAGCTCTAATTTATTCTTATAAGAATCATAGAAATGCATGAATATTAATTTATTTGCTCTACATTTCAGTATGATGAATCATTGCTTATCGTCGCAGCCGAGCCCGATTTATTTGTAATAATTATTTGGAAACTTATTATGACCGACGAAACCGCTAGTTCATTCTCTTGGTATGGCGAAAGTGATAAATATGTTAAAAAATATCCAATTAAAGACATGGCAATATTTGAAGCTCTCCAAGGTTAGCTATATTTAATATAATTATAAAATAAATACAAATATATATAAATTATTTAAAAATAACATCACAACAGTAAATTGTGATGCAACATATGCGCAAACAACACCCATTTGTTAATTTATAATTTATATGATCAACCTTTTTTCAAACCTAAATTTGTTTATATTCTCTTTTAATAATTAATTATATTAATATCAAACTTTTAATATTAAACTCTATACTCATAAATATACAATAATCATGAATAAGATTTTTAAAAAACAAGTCAATAAAAATAGAAATAGAAACAACACACTTTTAATTTAAAACTAATAATAATTAGTTATTAATAAACCATTTTAAAAAAAAATATTTTTTACTAACTTGTATTTTCATTTCAGCTGTATTCCGGCAAAAATTCCCCAAAGAATCAACTGACTACTTTAAGCAACATACGATTAGTTATTTTAAAGGAAAACATGAAAGCATTAAACGAAAACTTACAGAGACCTTTCTTATGAGGTATGCATTTATAATGTTTTAATAAAAACTTGTAGTAATTAATTTTAAAAAATTTTTTATTTATACATAGGGAAATAGAGTTAAACCGGTCAAAGCGACTTGCGATAAAAGCCGAAAGGAAGACTGGTTCATAACGAATTTACAACAATAACTGTAATAATATGAAATCCATAAGTTATAGCTATAAATTTAATCTGGATCTAGTTTTTAGCAAAACCAATCAAAATTTCTAAATTAATATGTACTATCAACATATGTGATGAAAATGACTTTTAATGTAATTTTAAAGTGATGGATTAATTTATACTTTTTAATACTACCAATAACTATATATAATGTATATTTAATAGCTTAATAGAAATATATATTTTTTATAAAACAAAAACTTTAATATAAACAAGTTTTATATAAAAATTTAAATAAACTATTTTGTGATGTAAAATTAAGACAAATATTCATTTAATTTAAAGTGATAAATTGCATTTATAATAATGATATATACTCAATAGCTTAATAAGCATATATATGTATTTATTTATTTGTAAGTTAACAGTAACATAGTAAATGCAACAAACAAAGATTTCATTATTTTTATATATATATATTCAAGTTAAACATTTTGCAAAATGTATTGAATTCTATCAATATTAAGTATTAAATTATAAGTTTAATACTTAATATGATGTAAACTGCTTAAAAAATTCTGGATAAACTCCAATTATATAAATTTCGTTTTTGTCAATTATATTTGTCTAACAAAAATTAAAATTTGTACTTTGTACAATAAGTTTTTGCTTATAACCGGGTTTATGTTATTTATTTAACACATAAAATTGTAAATCTTAAAAAAAATTTTTTTTAAATAAAAAATTACACATTAATTTGTGTTAAATAATAATAGAATGAAGATGGTCTATGAAGTAGATCAAAATATCTGTAATGTTAATAATTTTTTATAAAAATTAAAATATAGTTGCAGTATTCAACACAAAATAATAAGTATAATTTTTTATTTAAAAAAAATTTTATAATTTAATGTGTTAAATAAACGACCTAAGCCCGGTAATAATCAAAAACTAATTTGTACTATATCTATTAATCCTTAATATAACAAATTAAACATGTCAGGTACTTATAAATTTGAAAAATTTGTCCTTATATAATAATATATAAAAAGAATCTTATATAAAAAAATAATGTAATAGACATTTATGTTTTAATGTTTAATTAAGATTTAAATTAATCTACACATATTAACATTAAAATTAAAATTTGTACTATATCTATTAATCCTTAACATAACAAATTAAACATGTCATGTACTTATAAATTTTAAATATATAAAGTTTGTCCTTATATAATAATATATAAAAAGAATCTTATATAAAAAAATATTGTAATAGACATTTAAGTTATAATGTTTATTAAAGATTTAAATTAATCTACTCATATTAATTGTTAGAATGTAAATAATTATTTAAAACCTTAGCATATTAAAATCATATAAAGGTTTTAATACTTCTGTGTTTGTTAGATTAATAAATAAGCACATAACCATAACTCATTCATGTACTTAGAAATTTTAAATATATAAAGTTTGTGCTAATATATAATAAATCCTTATATAAAAAATGTAATAAACATTTAAATTATAATGTTTAATAAAGTTTTAAATTAATGTACTCATATTAATTGTTAGAATGTAAATAATTATTTAAAACCTTAGCATATTAAAATCATGTAAAGGTTTTAATACTTCTGTGTTTGTTAGATTAATAAATAAGCACATAACCAATAATACTGTGATTATATTGTGATAATAGCAAGTTTAGGAAGGTATTAATATTTAGCTACTAAAAAGGTACATTTCTTTGTTAATAAAAAAATATTGAATATATCGAACATTTATCTATTTTACACACAAACTAATTAATCAATTATTTCTATTATTAACTATATTTTTATTAAAATAAAAAAACAACTGCCAAAAAGAAGTTAAAAATTACACAAAATTTTATTTAATTTAAAAAAATCTGATCCAATATATCGCTTATGATCCATTGTGTAGTCACTTTTGTGTGTACTAAATGGCGCTTGGTTATCTTACTCAACGAGTGGTTTCGTGACGTAGACCAGACCGTCAATTCCTAATTGTACCCTAACTGCAGCTCTACCCCCCATGCTATGACCTATCTGTTTTCTTGCCCCAATGCACACACAAATTTCTGTTCAATTGCTCTATGGTCTATGCGAGCCGCCCTATAAAACTATTTAAATCCCACATATCCCACAATCAATTCTTACTATCAAATAATTCCCTCCCCTCTCACACTAACAATATTTAACTACATCCAAACCCATGTATTCGTGTTTCTAATTCTTTTCATTTTATTTACTTTATAGATCCTTGCGAACTACAACAACAGTATTAAATGCTGAATAATATTACTATAAACTACTCATAAAAAACCCGCCAAACTTGTTATTGTTTTATTAAAACCCTGCTTAACTTGTTAACAAAACATTTTTGCCATAATGTATATATTTACAAAATAAAAAAAAATATCTGGAAGTTTTATTATTTCTCTTTTATTCAACACAAATCAAAAGAACCTATTTTAATTACAGTTTTTATTACTTTATATACAATTATTTGATAAAATAAAGTTTAGTTTTCTTATGCCACGTATGTATTAATCTAAACAAAATCCAGATAAGGACCTACACATATCTTCACACATTTATTATACATGTGTATTTTAATAAAAATACAATAATTCTATTTCAAAATAAAATACTTAATAGACTAACAAATAAAACCTTAACTACAGGAAACTATTTTTAATTAATTTTTTTTATACTTGCTATAAACTATTTCATTAAAATTTGAACTTTAATACAAAGTTAAATTAAAAAATTCTTTAATTAAAATTACAGATAAAGTAAAATTAAAAATATTTGAAAGAGTGTTAAAATTGCTGTTAGCAAAAATTAAAATGATTGCGAGACTAAACTTTTCGAGCCCTTTAGAAAATGTTTCTTTTTGCGATGCGTTGACAGATTGCAAGATTGTTTAAACGAAGCGCCACACAATTCACATGCAAAGCGTCTTATTTTACTATGCACCGAACGATGTAGTTCTAATCTACTTTGATATTTGAATTTAAGGCCGCAGGTTTCATGATCACATATATACCATCGCTCTCCGTCCTCAGACGATATAGCACTACTAGCACTAGCAGTTGTGCTTGAATCTTTTGGCATTTCTGGTGGCATTAGAGTGGTTGCCACGGCTGTTTGTGGCGGTGCTGCTGTTAACGTTGGTAATAGCGGTGTGTGTACGATTGTTGCATAGGTTGTCGGTGCTTGTGGTAATTGATATATTGTTTGGGTTGTGCCTGTATTTGCATTGTGTGTTTGTGTCGCTGTTTGTAATTTAATTGTCTTATTCAAATTAGTTGGTTCCACTTTAATATCAACTTGCACTGCATTGGGTTCGATAGATCGCATTTCGGTATAATCTTTTGGCTCACTTTGATCCTGTGAATCGTCGGTTTGGTCACCATCTTGCTGTTCACCATCGTTCACTTTACGATAAAGTGGCAATGGCATTAATGTTTCTGGCTCAATGTAATTGGTAGTTTGGCATTCTTCCTACAAACGAGAAGAGAAAAAAATTTGTTTATATTACATATCTCAAATTGTTTGTTAAAAAATTATAAATACTTTAAGGCTTCCATGTAAAAAATTGTGTTCATCTTGTATATGTTTCCAAAAGTGATCCTGCAACTGAATTTCCATTTGGCATATATGGCAAACAATAAAAAAATTTGTACCATCACAAGATAAACAAAATTCTCCTAACTTCGTATAGATTTTATTATTTTTGCTTATGATTCTTGGAAAACCCATTTTATTTACATAAATGATTTATATTCGATTTAATACGAAAGATTTATCTTATTTAAAAATTTAATAACAGAATTTTTTACGACTCTACTCCACTTTTATTATTTTGTTTACGCCATTTGACATTGTTGTCATTTTGTCTCGGGGTGTGTTCAATGTATGCCAAGTTTTGACGGCGTTGAAGCGTCTTCACATTTAGAATATATAAAATGATGTACTAAAAATTGGAATTCTATCTACTCCATTTATTATATACGCGTTTAATTATATTTCAAAAATAATATAACTTACAGATAAATATGTAATAAAGGAGCAATCAAAGGAAGGAGTTAAGGTGCTATTTTATTTCATTTTTATTTTATTTTAAAATTGCATAAAAGGAAAAACCCTTTTGTTGCATCATCTTATAATTACCTTAAAAACTAACAACAAAAAAAAAGAGAATAATGTGTATACAATAATTAACAATTTACCAATTATTAAATAATGAAGCAAAAAAATTATAAAAAAAATGTAAAAAAATAAAAAAAATTAAATTCAATATCATAGTTTATATATATATACTATATTCTAGATAAATATTCATATATTATTAAGTCTGTTCCACGAGCTACTCATAGTAAAACTCAAGTAAAACACAAGATTTTCATGGAACAGCTTTGTATCAATTCTAGTAAGAACACCATTGCCGCGCAAATAAGCAATACGAAAATTTAAATTCAAACTAAAACAAGTAATTCAAACATTGAAATACATTTTTCTTGAAATAAAATGTAGGAGTAAAGTCTATATAGCATTTTCAATTTTCGACAGCGATGTTACGCTCTCTCAGATGCTCTCATTTACTCGAAAATTTGCTGGTGGAACGTATTTGTGTATACACAGTGTTACTTAAAGTTACTACGAGTAGCTCGTGGAACAGACCTATTATGATATCCAACTTATTACAGTTTCTAATCTTTATAACATAAAATAATAAATAATGCCTCTACAATAGTATTAAAACTTAACAATTAAAAATAAAAAATATAATTAATTAATTCAATTATTCTACAGCCGATTTTAAATTTCTTTCTAATATAACACAGCAAATAAATTTGTTAATGAACTTTCACAGCAAATTAACAAAACTCTAAAAAAATATAAGTCAAGCACGGCTTTGGGTCAGTTGGCTAATAAAAACTGACTCTGAGCTTCAAATGTGACAGTGCACGAGTTCAACCCTTGTTACTTACAGTCTCAAAAATTTTTTAGAAACAATTAAATATAAGATATTTAATATATCTTTAAAATATTACCATTTCTCTTCAGACATCTCTGCTGAGTGCGCTTCTTTTCCAGTCTCATACAGCAAGTCCGGTTAATACTCTCTTAACTTGATCACTCCAACGAAGATGTCACAGTCTATCTACCCCTCTTGAAAAAGAGGCTAGGTCTATTTGAGCTTGAGGTCTACATTACGGTACATTGTCCCAGCTGCATCTGACTATGTCTCTAGAACATTTTTAGCAACTCTTTGTTGACATATTTTGAATTATTACACCTGTTGGTTTAGTTTCTGTTACAATTATCGGAAATATATATTGTATCTACAAATTTATTTATAGATCACTTATCAACAGTACCTCCATCTGCGTTTCTCTCAACAAAATTTGTGATATACTTGGAAAAATAGGATTGACGACACACTTCGAAGACCTGCGAACCATATTGGAAGAACAGCACTCAGATGAAACCCCTAAAGCTCCAGAATGGCTGCCGCACCAGCACAAACATGTCTCAGAACTATAGACAGAGAATTCCATAATGCAAATTATAACTGAAATGATATATGCCGTGAAGCAGCCAATAGATTTAGGTGTAGATCTATGGCAGAGACTATATAGAGATTCCTTGGATTATATTTAGTAACTTTTCAGGTCACTGCAATCTGAAGTATCACTCTAGTAACATAAACCTTTTCAACACTGAGGTTTACCTAACCATATCCAGCACGAAAATGCGGGTTAAGATATAGTTAAGTATAGGTAGTGCGATAGAGGAATGTATTGGACTTTAAAAATGTCCAGGTCTATACCCCAAAAAGACTGGTCAATTTCGACGACGAAATGCCGTTTATCACTCTCACAATTGTGACTAGACCACAATTACCATTTTAAACATTTTACTTACACCTTTCAGCCGCGATATCTCTAAAGTTAAGTTATGTCAGTATATAATATACTGGATGTAGGTGCCAAAAATTTTTGACGCTGCTAGAATCTGTTGTCAATTGGGATGCTCATGAAATCTGAATCGTACTATTTTCTATAATATAAAATATAATATAATAATATAATATAAATAATTATAATATAATATAAATAATTATAATATAATATAAATAATTATAATATAATATAAATAGTTATAATATAATATAAATAATTATAATATAATATAATATAAAAATAAGTGAAAACATGTTAATTTTTTTTTTGTATTTTATTTTTATTTATACTATATATATAATATATGTATATACATATATATATATAGATTTGTAGATTTTACTTAAATTATTAAATGTTTTAGGTTTTGTTTTACTTAAAATGTAATTTCATACCGATTTACTTATTTCAGCTTTTCATCATCAACTTCTGTGTATTTTTTTTGTTTTTTTGTTAATTTGATCTTTTAAATTACACACAAAAATTATTTAAAGTACATTTATTTCTTATTTTTTGCACATAAAGAGCATATTTAGTTAAGTAAAATTTTTATATTTTATTTTTTTTTTTTGTTTTTTTTTTTATTTATATATATTTATATATAGTTTACGTTACTAGAAATCAATTATCAAATGTAAAAAAAAACTCAACATAGTAGGGGGGAACCACTAAAGTGAAAAATTATTCATCGATAGGCAGTAAACAATATAACTTACAAAATTACATAAATTTACTATATATATATATATATATATTAATTAAGAATGTTAAGAAAGACTTCGAAAATTATTTAAGTACACTCAACATATTTGTTGTTTTTATTGTTTTTGTTTTTATAAGGAATTAAACAATTGCTAAGCAATGTTAAATAAATTCTTATTAAGAATATTTGAAGGAAGTATTTGCAAACAATATTATACTCGTATATGGATAGCTTTATTTCTGGGAATTGTTTATAAAATAAATTAATTTAAGCAAATTGATTAAACAATTTATTTGAAATACTAGATTTTTTTATTTTGGAAATTGTTTATTAAATAAATTAATTTAAGCAAATTGATTAAAAAATTTATTTGAAATTCTAGATTTTTGTTAACTCGAAGAATTGTTTATTAAATAAATCAATTGAAACAAATTTGCTAAACAATTTATTTAAAAATTGGGACTTTTTATGAAGACTAATAAAAGTATAATTCAAAAATATATAAAAATTAATAATTATATTGTTTTAAAAAATTTATATTTATATAATTTAATTTTTATATAATTTTAAATTAGCCTAAATAAGTTTAAAAACATTTATATAGATTCGCTCGTATGTTTTTTATTTATCGAATGAATATCGTCGACCTTTCCAATTCGAACACTTCTTTCCGGAGAACTTCAAATCTTTCCCCAACAAAGCACTTAAGTATAAAAAATACTTCATTTAGTTATTATTAAATAATTTTCGAAATCTTTAAGTCAAATTCATATTATATGTATTAATTATTAATATTAGTTAATTATAAACATTTACACATTAATTGATTTTAGCATTTCAATTATTTGTAAAAAAAGGAATAATAATAATAATAGTACATGGAAAAAATTATATTTTTTGGTAGTACTTTTGGAAAGTTATAAAAGAATGAATATGCACTTTCTTTCTTTGAAGAAAGCTTAAAGAAGAAGAGAAATATTTAAAAAATTTAAGGATATCTGGTGCCTTGAGAGAAATTTAATAGTGGATTTTATAAATAACAATTTTGTTTTTTTTGTTAAAATACTTAAGAAAGCGATATAATTTACGAAAAATACATTTATTATTTTGTTTTTTTTTTCATATCAATTTCACGTATATTTAATTAAATTAGTTATTTATTTTCTATATCTTAATTTAATTAATTTTTAATCGTGTAAAAATCTAGCGTTTCTTGTATAGAAGCAGAAAATAAGTGGTGGTGAGTAAGAAAGAAGTTTCTAATTGAATGGTATAAAAAAAATAACTTTATTTTAAATTAAATATTTAAAATAATTATATTTATTTTTTAAGTAAAAAGAGAAAGTTGAAAATAGAAAAAAAAAAAAATTAAAGAAATTTAAGTAATTTTTGCATTGTCACAACAAGCATTTTGCTATTTAGTTTCCTTTGTTTTATATATAGTTTTTAACTATATATTTTTTATTATATTTTTATTTTTATTTTGTGGATGGAAATTCATTTGTTATATTGAAAAATTAGGTGCTTTTCCTTATTATATTTTACACATATTCAAAAAAATGTCCGATTTTGTTTTGTTAACAAATATACATCTATATAATTTGTTGTAGTTGTATGATATTTTACTAATATTAAATATGTATAAGAATTGTTTTTTTTCTTTTGTTTTTTATTTATATTTACTTTATTATTTAATTTTAATTGTTAAACTTCAATTTATTGTTGAAAATCAATGATCAAGTTACATCGAAAATAAAACAGGTTCTGGAATACACAGAAGATAAAATCAATGATCAAGTTACATCAAAAATTAAACAGGTTCTGGAATATACAGAAGATATAGGGACCCGACAGTTCTAATAATTTGCATGACAGACAGCCGTCTACGATTCCCACCGGTGTTTTTGGGGCTGGCGCACTGTTGTTTAACGTTGTTGCTGCTACTGTTTGGTCGTCACCTCCTGCTATTATCTTCTGCTGCCTTTCCATTCGGTTCTTGTTTTGAATTTTTTCAATAACTACAATAACTACTTTCCTTTGAGTATCCTTTTTTCTTGTAATAAAATAAAATTTTTGTTTTGAGGATTCTTGTTTTAAAACGGTTGAAAAATAAATAAACGGCATGGTCGTTTGTTTGTTTCTGAATGCTGCATTGTGTATTTGTGTATTGCGTATGTTTGTTTTATTGTGTAGTTTTGTTTGTTTTTTTTTGTAATAATTAAATAGCTTCATGTTGTTTGGAGATTTTTAACCGCTCTTGAAGAGCAAAATCGCCACTTGACCCAGGTAGAAATAAATGAAATGGCGAGTCTCGTGGGTGACATAGGAGCCAAAGTTTCGGCCAACAATGCAATGCCATGTAGGATTGTACTTCTTATCGAACTCCTTTTTAATGTAGGCTGCAATATCCTGTAAACAAAAAAAAATATTTTGTGGTTAGTAAATGATAATCAAATTATTCTTAATCATATTTCCTAACGAATATAGATAGATTCATCCAAACAATCTAGCTTTCTGCTTCATATCGCCCTCGAAAATTCTTATAAGACTAAATAATAAGTATATGAATAAACTATTTAACAAAATATTAATTACAAAAAGAAGAGTTTAAATTAAGAATAAAATTCTAAATTAAGAACGAATTTAAAGAATAAAACCTTAATTAAAAAAAAGCGTTTAAATTGAGAACAAAATCTTAATTTAAAAAAAAAAGAGTTTAAATTAAATATAAAATTCTAAATTAAAAAGAATTTAAAGAATAAAACCTTAATTTAAAAAAAAGCGTTTAAATTGAGAACAAAATCTTAATTTAAAAAAAAAGAGTTTAAATTGAGAACAAAATCTTAATTTAAAAAGGTTTTAAATTAAGAACAAAATCTTGATTTAAAAAAAAAGAGTTTAAATTAAGAATAAAATATTAATTTAAAAAGATTTTAAATTTTACGAAAAAAATTTTAATGTAAAAAAAAAAATACTCCACTGGAATAACTACTCCCTATATATATAAAAAAAAAAAAAAGAAAGGCCACATTATTTTGATAGAATACATATTAAAATTTAAATATAAAAAAATTTAAAATATTCCTAATACTATTTTTTTTTTTGTTTTCAATAAAAAAATCATCTGATGATGGAACTTGGCAATACTCGAAACAATTGTATTGTGAGCCAAAAATTCTATTAATTAAAAATTAAAACGTTTTTGGTGTTGTAATTTATCACCGTTAAAAAAGCTCTCTATTAAAAAAAAATAACTCTTTCGTCATACCGGACTTTTAAGATTAAACTTTAAATACTATTTGTTATAGATTATTTTCAAATGGCTGCTTATATAGTTATAGTTTCTTATAGTTTATTGTAGTCGATCATTTTGCTGATCGAAGCCCTGTCATCTTCATGATCCTATATCCACCTTAATGGGTGTAGGCCCATGCCTTCAGTACATCGTCAATTCTTTATGTGTGCCCCAACTGCAATTCTACCAATCGTCTGTCGTGAATGTCGCCCATCTGTTTTCATGCCCCAATGTACAAACAAATTTGAGTCCAATCAACTTTTAGAACTACAGAAGTGGCTAGATTTCTCTGTCTTGTTTTTGGTTGAGTTCAATTTCAATTCCACTCATCCCCCTACCCATTCTTACTCCTGAATAATCCCGACAGCCAATATCTGTTATTATATTTGTTATTAATATTAATATCTGTTATTAACATTAGCATGTTTATTTCAGTGAATTATAAGAAATTTATCTATTCATCAATACAGAAATCACCTTGAAATGAGTAAAAAAACTGATCTATGTCTATTTGCGAGAACAGATTACAGTCACTCAGTTCTCGTCTTTATTTACTCTCTTGACTGTGCGATAAAAAAAATAAGTTGTTTTTTCTCTTTTTTGAATGGTTTTATGTTAATTTACTTGATACTTTGAACTCAAATTTGTAACCCATTTTTTCCTAGACGTCCATATTCAGGGTCTTGCAATAACGGATGGAATTTAAACAAATTGATATTTTAAATGGTTAAAGGGAAGTAAGTGAATGTAAGATTGAGAATACATTTTAAGTGTAGTTTGATCGCTCAACTCGATAAATTACTTTTAAATAATTTAATAGGTAATGAGTCTCCATATTATATATCAAGCTTTATTTTTGTTTCAGTATGTAGTTTTTAAAATAAAATATATTTAATATCCGAGTGTAAAATATTTCTATTTTTTCTTTTTCTTTTTTTTCGAACTTAAATAAAAGATCTCAAACCAAAGAGTAACTATTTCGGAAAACATATATATATCTGTATTAATGAAAATGAAGTACTAAGACTGTTAATAATCAAACAAAATAATATTAATATAATGTTTGTAATTATAATTTAACTATATTTAGTTCATATATAATCAACATCTCGTAACTCGTAACACTTTAATATCCTTTCTCTATTCAATAGGTGTGTAGAAATTCATAAAAATGTAACTTGAATAACTTCAAGTAATAATAATGGAATGAATGCTTTAAGTTTTTCTGCGTTTGTAGTGCGTTGTCAAAAAATATAGGTTAACCCAAAAAATCTAAGCAGCAAACAAAAAAAAAAAACATCATGCGTGTCGAATTGCAGTTGCTGCTCTATGGGAAGGACGACAACATTTCCCATATTTTAACTTTTATTTATTTTGTATAAAGTTGCGAGACAACATTGTTATATATAGTAGAAGAGTAGACCGATAACAATATTTCTATACCACCAGTGTTGACAACAAAGCAAACATTATAAAATTATATGGGTCGCACAGCAAATAAATGGCTTTTAGTTACATATTCAAAATAAAAAAAATATATATGCCAAATTTTTTTATACTTATAGAAATATTGTACATATATATAATATATATATTTAAATGAAAGAAATGTTTATTCGCCTAAACCAAACAAATTACATTATTGATTAAACAATGCAATTTTTATTATGCCAGGACACCAGCGTTAGGCTTGCATGTCAGCGTTGTTTTCAAAGTAAAGTAAACCAATGCAATGGGAGAAGGAATTAGTTAGTTTAGCTAATTATTAGTTTTATTTTTTAAAATCATCATAAACTACTCATTTACATTGATATCATTTATGAAAGCTGGTGACAAAATTAATTAGTTACCCAGTCTAGTTTACTGCGCTGAAGATGATTACGAACCAACCAACGAGAAGAGGAGGAATTTGCTGAAAATTTTTGTTCAATTTTAGAGAAACTTTCGTTTATTTAATTTACATTTTAATGAAGTTTGTATTATCATTTAAGTAATGTAAACAGTAATTAACATGTGTTATTCTATCCTTGGTGGCGGCAGCAGTAGCAGCAACATGAGCTAATGGAAACAAATCACAATTTTTAATTAATAACTAAACGAGACTAAAACTTTGTTGCGAATTTAGTTTCCACGCAAAATTTGTGCACCGCCAGAAACTGAACTGTTCCAACTACAACCAACATCATCACCTCACGCCATGCACTCCAAAAGCTATTGTCGTAACGACAAATCACTGACGTGGAATGTCAGTCACTCTGTGATGAAATGGGAAATGGAAACGCTGCACACATAACAAGGAGAAAGGAGGTGGGGTGGTTTGTACAATTTTACATACACAGGATGTGCACAAATTTATTGGCTTTTCCTGTTTAATACATATAATTATTTAATTAGTGTTTAGGTTCCTTAGTTCTGCGAAACATACAACAACAATAACAACAACAACAAGGTTAACCAGTAGTACAAAGGACGAAAGTCACTAATTGGGTTGGTTCGATATAAAAGGAATATGTGCGCGGATGCATGTTTTTAACCAGAAATTATTTTTACAGGTATTCACATAAATTCTTTCACAAATAACAATAATTATACTGAAAATAAAATAAATAGAGAATACATGTACGAAGTTACCAGCATCAATGAAATGCAATTAATCTCATCTAATAAAGAAAATTTAATTACACTTTTCCTTATTAGTTACATTACTTTAAAAGTAATTAATTTTGTATTAATAATTATTAATTAAATTAGTTTTCATTTTATTCCTTTTTTTTATTTATTTAATTTATTTCTTTATTTAATTTATTTATTTAAATTAATATATTAAATTTATTTATTTATTTAATATATTTATTTAATTCATTTATTAATTTATTTATTTAATTCATTTATTAATTTATTTATTTAATTCATTTATTAATTTATTTATTTAATTCATTTATTAATTTATTTATCATTTATTTAATTCATTTATTAATTTATTTATTTAACCCATTTATTAAGTAATTTATTTTATTTATTTATTTATTTAATTTATTTATTAATTTATTTATTTAATTTATTTATTTAATTCATTTATTAATTTATTTATTTTACCCATTTATTAATTAATTAATTAATTAATTTATTTATTAATTCATTTAATTAATTATTTATTTAATTCATTTATTATTAATTTATTTAATTCATTATTATTTATTTATTTATTCATTTATTAATTTTATTTATTTAATTCATTAATTAATATTAATTTAATTCATTTATTAATTTATTTATTAATTCATTTATTAATTTATTTATTTAATTCATTAATATTTATTCAATTCATTTATTAATTTATTTATTTAATTCATTTATGATTAATTTATTTCATTTATTAGTTTCATTTATTTATTTAATTTATTTATTTCACTTATTTATTTAATTTTATTTATTATTATTTAATTTAATTTTTTAATAAATTGATTTTATTTATTTATTTAATAAATTGATTTTATTTATTTATTTAATATTATTATTATATTATTTAATATTTTTATTTAATAAATTGATGTTATTTATTATTTAATAATTGATTTTATTTATTTATTTAATAAATTGATTTTATTTATTTATTTAATAAATTCATATTTATTTATTTATTTAATAAATTGATATTTATTTATTTAATTTATTGATTTCTTTAATTTTATTTATTGATTTTATTTATTAATTTTACTTATTATTTCATTTATTTGTTTTATGTATTCATTTAATAATATAAAACAGATAACGTAAAATGAATTACAAAGGATGTGGATGTGTATTGATATAATGAGGTGGGAGGGAACTATTTAAGAATGAGAAAGGATTGGGAGAGAAGTGGTATTTAAACTGAAGTCTACTAGGATCAAGCAGAAAAAAACTAACCACTTCTTTAGGGTTCAAAAATCGATTGGACTAGTTAATTACGCATTGCGTCGTTCTTCTTGTGGGATTTTAGACGGGCCCTATTAAGTACTGACATTTGTGTGAAAGGCTATTTTATTCCACGTTTATATTTAACCTTATTGATGTAAGTTTCGGTCGAGATCCCGGAGCCACTCGTTGAGTTCGTCAACCAAGTGTCAGTCAG